TAATTTATAAACATGTTTAGGTTCTAAATTTATAAAAAAAAAACAAAAAAAAAACAAAAAACAAGAAAACAAAAAATCTCCTATGATGATTGAAGTCTTTATTAGACGGTATACCTATCTGAGGAGACAAAAAATACCTTGCCGACCTTGTCTCTCAAGCCACGAGCTGCCACTGGCTACAAATTAATAATTTCCCATATTTATTTTAAAGTATTCATTTCTTTTTTAGTTACAGACTATTTAAAATATTTTGGAACACCGTGTATAAATGCTGAATATAACACAAATCGATCTATACTTTACCTGATCTGTTGGTAACAATTGAAAGTCATCGGGTGGATTGGTAATGACGTATCTTTTACTACTAGCGTCGCACGAAGAACTAGTGTCCCTAAATCTATATAGTCCTATGCATAACATGCCGAATTGTTTCAAGGCCGCTACGAACAGATCTCCATATTTCCCGGTCTCACCAAATTGCGCCAATGGACCATCATATAAGGAAATTTGGCCTACCCTACATCTATCTCGATTTGATAAACTATCTGCAGTACTGAAAATAAAATACAATTTAGATATGATATGCACAAACTATTTGTGATTAAATTATATTGTATTTAGATCATCAAGCAAAAAGATAAAAGAGGGAATCTAATCGTTATGAAAAGGAGACTAAAAAAGTGGCCTCTGATGGCGGACATATCCGGAAATGCAAAGGCGCTAAATTTAAATTTTCCAACACTTGTTAACAATAGCTGTAAAATATTTTTCAGACAAGAAAGTTTTAATTAAATATTAACGATAATAGACTAAAAAGTGACACAATTGGTAAAAAACTTCAATATAAATAAAATTTCACAGTTGGGACAAACACTAACATAACCAAACTAAATTTGACTTCTTAAACAAGGAAAGAGACTGTCTTTCCTTGTTTAAAGTGGCCTCTCAAGATAGCACTTCCTGTCTCACAATAGTTTTGTCCCCACTACCTTTACATTCCCTCTTTTATCTTTTTGCTCGATGATTTAGATACAGTATGATGCAAATCTATGTAATGAATTTATTTATTTAGGAGAAAAGACTTAAAAGGATTAAAACACGTAAATTTTAATTTATAATTTATAAAATTTGCTGTTATAATCATACATTTTTGTCTTTTTTGGGCAAATTGACATTTGGTATCTTTTTTTAATTCTTATTTTTTTTTCTATTCCATTTATAAAATCAAGGTAAATAATGGAGGACTCAAGGAATCTTCCTGTCTTATCCCATTGCCAGCTTCAATAGAAGCAGTTAGTTCTTTTACTACTTTTACTTTTATTGTATTGTTGTGGTAGATATTTTCGATCGTTTTGATTATTTCTAGAGGTATCTCTGAATTTTTAGTACTACCATTTTATCTGTTAGTCTGATAAACAACTACCTTGGTATTAAGTTATTATGAGCTGAAATTTTTCAACCTTCTCTTTTATATTTTATTTCTCATAAGAACCTTTTTTGTTACTACATTTTTTGTTTTACCTCCCTTTCCCAGATTTTTGTTCCCAGTTCTTGTTTTTCCATGCTACTCTAATACTGTTTAAAGGGCAACTCCTTATTAATTTGCCATATTTTGTATTGGTTTTCCCTACTTTGTTGTTTAGCATTTCGCTTTTCTTATTGGATTCTTTAAAAGCCGTTTTCATTTCTTGTATCATTTCTTATATTTAATATTTTTTGTATCTGATCCATAACTTCTGTCTCTTTTTAGCAGCATATCCACCTACCAATTTGCATAACGGCTAACGTATTATATTAGACAATAAAAAATAAGATATGTATAGAAAAAATAATATACCTGTATCCTCCACGAAGTCCAGCTCCTTCAGCGAGGATTAATTCCAGTTCTGGAGTAGCCCCTCCGGTAATTAATGATCTAATTAATGTTAAGGCATTTTGATTGAAGTACGTCTGAAAAATAAACATTGCTTAACTATCTTAATCCACACTTGTTTTAAAGTACTTACTGTTGACATTAAAGAGTCTAAAACACTAACGGCAAAAGCTGTGCCACAAGCAAATGGCTGTGTCAAGTACAACTCCGTATCCGGATCGTCATCGTCATCTTGATCTAAGAATTGGACGTTGCTGTCATTTACTAATTCTGGAAATTAAAAATGTATATTGCATAATTATCGTCCAATATCACTACTATCACAACTTTATAAAACATTCACAAAAATAATTACAAATATATTGACAACAAAGTTCGATGTATATCAACCAGTAGAGCCAGCCGGATTTAGAAAAGGGTTCAGTACATGTGACCATCTTCACACACTAAAGATCCTAATAGAAAAAGTTAACGAATACAATTTACCAATCTGTTTAGCATTTATAGACTACGAGAAAGCTTTTGACAGCATAGAATTATGGGCTATTGAGGAAGCACTGGTCAACAGCAGAATATATTCTAGATATAGGATATTAATACATAATATATATCAACACGCTGAAATGGTAGTCACGATGGATAACGGAATGAAAACGAGGCCAATAAAAATCAACCGAGGAGTGAGACGGGGATACACCATATCTCCAAAACTATTTACTGCCGCACTTGAAGACATCTTTACATCACTAAATTGGGAAACGAAGGGACTATCGATAAACGGAAAGTATTTAAACCATCTAAGATATGCAGATGACGTAGTACTAATAGCCGACAGCTGGAAAGAACTGAAGACGATGATCGATGAGCTTCATACGGAATCCATAAAAAAGGACTGAAAATGAATCTGAGTAAAATTAAGATAATGTCGAATAAAGATGATAAACCGACGATAACCATCCAAGGAACAAAAGTGGAACATGTAGGAGAATACATATATCTGGGTCAGAATATCAAGGTAAACAAAGAAAACCAAACTACCGAAATAAGCAGACGAGTAAGAATGGGATGGGCCGCATTTGAAAAACTCTCATACATACTGAGACAAAAAGATACCCCAAAACCTTCGAACCAAAGTGTTTGATTCTTGTATCCTTCCCGTTTTCACTTACGGAGCTCAAACCTGGACATTCACAAAAAAGAATATGGACAAGATTCGAAAAACTCAACGAGCCATGGAACGACAGATGCTTGGTATCTCACTAATAAATCGGCAAACGAACGAAGCAATCCGGAACAAAACAAAAATAAAGGACGCCGCGAAACAAGCAGCTAAATTAAAATGGAAATGGGCTGGACACAACGAACGTCTCGAAGATGGTAGATGTAACAAAGAAGTCGGAAACTGGCGACCATACGATGCGAAGAGACCAAGAGGAAGACCTCAAATGCGCTGGAGCGACGATATCAAAAGAGTCGCAGGACCAATGTGGAAACGCCTAGCACAACAGGGATGAATGGAGAGAAATGGGAGAGGCCTTTATTCGACAATTCGGATAGAAAAAGGGCTATAAAAAAATATTGCATAAAGGTAAGTTAATATGATTATCGACAAAATGATGGATACTATTTAACTTATTCTCAGAATATATAATAAATGAAGCGTGTTTTAATGTGAATTAAATTAAAATTAATAGTATAATATTGCATATTTGCATTGTATTCGATATTTTGTCATCAAAATCTAAATGATATACAAAGATTACTATCCAAAATAGTAAAATTGGGGTTACTACTCGATTAACAATAGAAAATAGATTTTTTTGTTCAAAAATACAGAAAAAGACTGCAACTCTTAAACAGTTGGTAAAACATAAAAATGTAACTTAATTATGACTGACAGGATACAAAGAAACCAGATAGCTGGATACTCTTATTAAAAAAGGAGCCAATATTGAACCATTTTGTGATATTCAAGAATTTGGAGCAGCCTACTGGAAAAATATTTCAGACTTAAGACATGCAAATTGTTACAACTTTATCGCTACGCGAAAAATAATTTCTAACGTTATAAACATCACATGTTTGTTTTTATTTAAATTTAAATTTGTTTTAAAAATAGTTGGGGCTCAACTCTTCAATCAACTTTGTCTTTAATAAATATTCTGTCATACTCTAAATTCCAATCTTAATTTTCACTTGATATTCTTATTCCTTTATTCAGATCCCATTATGCTTTATGCCGTGAAACAGAATTTATTATTGTAATTTGTAATCTTTATATGACAAGGAAATATTTATTATATTTGTATTATATTATATTTAATATTTGATTTATATTTTTCCTGTTCCCCTTTCTCGAAAGGAACCTACCCTAAAATGACATGGTGCTAACCAGTATCAGTAGATGGAGCTGCAACCGCACCAGATGCATTTCACAATCCATTCAACCAATTTGAAGTCACCAACAACTATCAGAATCCTGACCTATTACTTGAAGACAACATCAGAAGCCATAAGTATCATTTTAAATCTTTATGTAAAGCTCTAGGCAAGATTTGCTCTGTTTTATTTTAATTTTAATTTTATATTTTATTTACATACAATAAAAATAATTAGTTAATATTTTAGTTTATTTGCTATAGGCAAACTAATATTTTTCAGATGTACTTTTAAGATAAGAATTTCTCACACCTGAGAGACTGAGCTAGATGAGGCCTAACACTTAGCTCCAAAAGAAAGTTCTGAGTTTTATTGTTCTATATTGGCTTTCGGAGGTAGTTATATTGTTACAAATTTAAGAGCTTTAGAAAATTGAACTTTAACGATAATCACAGGTGTTGTCACTGGACGCATTTCTGTAAAATAGGAAAAGTGAAGAGAGCAACATGTAGATTAAGAGAAAACGGCCGAACATATGCTATAGAAGCAGTATTCGTCATAAAGCAAATTAAAGAGAAATTATTACAATATAATAGATCAGCGCTTCTATGTTTGATGTCTGTATCAAATCAAAAAAATATTGTCCATCTTCCAAACTAACTGCAAACTGATTCGAACAGTTGGAAAATCAAACATCTGTCCCCAATATACATTTAAAAGTTAATTATTGTATTATATTTTGTTACATTTAGGAATATAGAACACAATTACCTGTTATCATAGGAACATTGGCTCCATATACTGATCCTCTACGTTGAAGAATAATAGGACTACCAACAGGCGTACCCGCCTCATTAGTACCATTCGTCTGGCTCAGTACACCTATCGTATCATCAAAAGTCATTGCTTTAATGTTAAGAGATGCTAATATTGCTTCCTTATCTGCTAGAGTAGGATCATCGTTACTTGGCACTTTAGCTGACAGAATGCAACACATATCACATAAGTTTACATTAACGGCACGAAGGTCTGCTCTACTTAAGGGAGATCCCTAAAACAAAATAAAAGTTTTGGAAAATTTTATTTTGGACACTGTTTAAAACATAGGTTGTCATACATAAATTTAAAGGTAAAAAGTAGTGGTAGGTATATAAAGTTTAATTGCCAATAAACTGTTTCCATAAATGTCAGTTATCACCTCATTCTCTTGAACTCGGGAAAGAACTTTGTTCATTTTTTCTGTAAATTTTTTATATATATATATATATATATATATATATATATATATATATATTGTTATGCTATTTAAATTGTATTCTATTGCTTATTTAGAAAAGATCCTATCTATATTTATTAAATGATCTAATCTCCAATTAATCACAATAAATCAGCATTAATTAATTACAATCTCAGGATATTTAACTTGTACTATTTACCTTTGATCGTGGATTCAAAATATTTTCCAATTGGCTTCCTAATTGGGATAGGTAATATGACCTGAATAAAATACACAGAATTTCAACTGAAGTATATGTGAGATGTCCTTTATTTTATTGAAATTTTATATAACAATCAATCCGGTAATATTTGCAATACAATACTTTAAATATATGAGAAGTTGTTTTCTATCATGGACCCAAATGTTATTTTACATTGATTTTTAATATGTGTTATAACTAAGCTCTCTTTATAATTTGTTCTTTTTTAAATGATCGCAAAATTAACTGTCTCTATAATTTATTCAATTTATTTAATTTATAAATGAAAACCACACTCCTGCTCTAATGAAAATTGACTGACCTTTCGTTATCTGCCGTTGCAATTCTATGGCCACGCCATAAAAAAAAACCTTTCTCTGCTTCTGCTCCTATTTTGGTCCAGAAGACGTACACCTTTCTCCTCTCTGTCCTTGTATCTGCAACCCAACAACTCGTGTAATTCTATGCAGCCTCCTTTTGAACCAATCTCCGCGCCTGTTTATAACTTCAAATGTTTCCGGCTTCGTCTGCTATTAATATTCTTATAACCTTTTGGTTTTTCTATCTCTCTGTACCCCGTTCCTCACACTCATCAGCTTTTACACCGCAAAAAAACACACCCGGTAAATTACGTCTTCGGGACTTCAAACAAACACAAACCACAAAGCTCCTTCCTTCTTGGGCGACGAAAACTGACTAACTCCTTTCCTCTCTCCTATCTCATAGCTAAAACCACTCCCTCCTTGCATTCAAAAATTGACCAATAAAAATCTTCTACCTCTGTGACGTATATCGTTAACAACCAACTCTCTCTATTAAAACGTCATTCGGGTAATTCCAGAAAACAACATTCTTTAATTATTCTAACTAAATCTATCTGCTTTACAAATATTTCTTACTAATAGCTACAAACGATACCTGTTTCTCAATTCAATGTCTTTTGTTAATAAACTTTTACCGATATAATCTTTCGGGGGGAAAAACCACCGCACAACCCGGTCTATTGTTTAAACACTTTCTATATACACTTTTATTACGGGTAAATCCATTTCACAATAACCGACTTATTTAAATTTCTTATCGATAATATTTGAAAGTCTTGTCTCTGAGGCCTAATGAACAATTCTTTGAACAACTTAAAATACATATTTTGTCTTATACAGGATGTTTGAAAATTTATATGCCCGTGTCATTATGAAATATCAATAATTTTAATTTTTATTTAAGTAATAAAATTTGTATATCGGTTTTTATTGCTAGTGGACATTCAAAAATACAACAAATCCCCGCCTTTGTAATCGATAAAATTTATCAATCTATGCAACTAAATTTTCTCGAGACAAACTAAAACGCACTTCCTGTATGCTAACTGTACTTGTGCTACGTATTTGTGGCCACTCGGTTTTCCTTATTTATCAGCGTTTCATAGTCTCTTAAAATTTTACGCAAATCATTTTCTTTGCCTTCTCCACATATCCATTTTGTGTCTCTCCCATCAAATTCTTCGCACATATTCACCGTGTACTCCGTGTCTTTTTCAAACACCACTGTCTCCATTGTGTCCTCTTCATTTTCCTTTGTTTTTTCTTCTGTTGGGCTCGTCTCTTCTTTTGAGGAATCCCAAGTTTTGCTTTCATTTCTTGTCAAAATCTTTCCATCTTCTTCTCCTGAGCTCGTCTCATCTTTTGAGGAATCCCAGGTTTTTTTTCTTTGATCTTTTTCTGACCTTTTCCCCTCTTTCTTCCTTTTCCTTTCTTCGTCACCAGGTTCATTTCCACCGTTTGTTCTTTCTCTGATTCGTCCGTAATTTGTTTCTCTTGTTCCTTATCCTGTTCTTCTTCTTTTTCCTTTGTTATTTTCATCGTATTGGTTTTGAAGTCGATCACTACATGTTTTTCCGTTAATTCGTCAACGCCTACAATCATGTCATGTGACATATTCGGCATTATTACACATTGAAGTGCATACATATTTTTTTTCAATCGTACCATTACTCGTATACCTTCATTTATTGTTGCCAATGTCCGTTTATTTGCGCCCACTAAATTCACCCTAGGTATTTTATAAATTAGACTTGTTAAATTTACTTCTTCGATTAATTTTCTGTTGACCAGTGTTATTTCAGAGCCTGTGTCTATCATAATTTTAATTGGTTTCTCATTTATAAATCCATCCACAAATTTTAAATTAACTCCATTTCTCTTTTCATTGTTTCCTGCCAGTTTAATAAATTCCTTGGGGTGACAAAAAATTCCTGTTTGTTTCTTCGTTTTTAGTGAGCGCCTTCTTGAAAACACGCCTGTTGTTCTTCTGTGTTTTCTCGCCCGTCATCTTCTCTCTCATATTCATTTTCTTCTCTTTGCATATTATTTATTTCTCTTCTGTTCTCTTTTGGTCTATCATTCCCGTATCGGTTACCGCGAGATTCCTGTTCATTCCGTGGGTTATTGTATCTGTTTCCTTGGTATGGGCGGTTATTTCTACTCTGATTTTCCCGATCCCTGTTTTCATTCCATCTCTGGGTTCTGGGTTCATAATTCTCTCTTCCTTTCGGTCTATTTTCGTATCCCCGTCTAGGTATGAATTCTCGTCTTGGATAATCTCTTCTAAAATTTTGACCTCTATCTCTATATTCTTGGTTTTCTCTTTGTCTATAATTTTCTTGCGGTCTTCTTTCTCTTCTTTCATGCCTACGTGATTCTCTCATTTACAAAAATTGACATAAGCTGTCAATGTCCTTGTAATTTTGGAGACTTATGTGGTCTTCCAAGGTATCTTCAAAGTGTCGCGATATCAACTCTACCAATTGTTCTGATGAATAATTATATTGCAAATGTTTTGCATTATTATAGAGTTGTAATGCGTACATCGTTTCTGATACGCCCATCCTCTCATGGTATTTTCCATTTTGTAACTCTTTATTTACTTGTAGTTGCTGGATTTTTCCCCAGAAATAATTTAAGAATCTTCTCTCAAAATCTTGCCAATTGTCAAATTCTTCTTCCTTGCTGACAAACCAAAGATTTGCCTCTTCTTTGAGATGGTTTCGGATGGTTTCCTTTGCTGTTGCAAACGGTCCTATGTATGTGACTTTTTTCTTTAGGTTATTTATAAAAGGCACTGGGTGTAGTTTCCTTATATCCCCGCCAAATCGTACTTTAACGTCTTCTGTGCTATGTACGATAACTTCCTTTCTTTTTACTCCTCTTATCTCCATCTCTGCAATTTGTTTTTCATTTTGCTTAAGTTTCCTTTCCATTTCTTTCCTGACTTCTAGTAACGCATTTTCAAATTTTATTTCTATCTGTTCTAATTCCCTTTCTTGCATACTCTGAATATCCTTCATTTTAGTTTCGATTTCTTCTCTCTGCAATTCTAGTTTCCTCTCTGTTTCTTCCCTACTTCTTTCTAAACAGACTTTTATTTCGTTTTCATATTTGTCCATACGCGTTTCCATTTTTTGTTCCATTTTTCTTTGGTTTTCTTCCAATTTGTCCAATTTTTGTTCCGTTCTTTGTTGTGATTCATCCAATTTTTGTTCCGTTCTTTGTTGTGATTCATCCATCTTCTGTGATTGGAGTTGCATCATTTGTATTAATTTTTCTATTCCCGATTCTTGTTTTTCTGTCTCCATTACTGTTGTGTCTAATACGTCTTCCTGGTCTGAATATTCTTCCTGTTCTGATTTATCTTCTTGTTTTTTGTTCTCTTTGCTCTTGTTTCTTGTGTTTGGCATTTATTCTGTTTTTATCCCCGCCAAATATAAAATTCTACTGGTCTGTTGCAACAAACGGGACTTTTCTTGTTCAAATGTAATAACTCTTGAGTACGAGTATCAAATTTCAATATCCCACAAATAAATCAAATGGTAAAATATCCAATGTCAAAATCAATCAAATAAATCAAGTATGGTAAAATTATCAAATGTAAATATCACACAAATAAATCAATTATGGTAACCTATAAATTGTCAATATCACGAATAAATCAATTATGGTAAATTGTATCTTAAAAAAATATATAAATCTTTATGTCCTCAAATTTTACATAATATTTCACTTTATCCACGGCATATCAACTTTCAAATATCTGCTCGTCTACTCCTATCCTTTCAAATTTGCCAACTAGAAATATTTTTCAAAGCTTTACACGTTGGGGGCCATTTTTGTTATGCTATTTAAATTGTATTCTATTGCTTATTTAGAAAAGATCCTATCTATATTTATTAAATGATCTAATCTCCAATTAATCACAATAAATCAGCATTAATTAATTACAATCTCAGGATATTTAACTTGTACTATTTACCTTTGATCGTGGATTCAAAATATTTTCCAATTGGCTTCCTAATTGGGATAGGTAATATGACCTGAATAAAATACACAGAATTTCAACTGAAGTATATGTGAGATGTCCTTTATTTTATTGAAATTTTATATAACAATCAATCCGGTAATATTTGCAATACAATACTTTAAATATATGAGAAGTTGTTTTCTATCATGGACCCAAATGTTATTTTACATTGATTTTTAATATGTGTTATAACTAAGCTCTCTTTATAATTTTTTCTTTTTTAAATGATCGCAAAATTAACTGTCTCTATAATTTATTCAATTTATTTAATTTATAAATGAAAACCACACTCCTGCTCTAATGAAAATTGACTGACCTTTCGTTATCTGCCGTTGCAATTCTATGGCCACGCCATAAAAAAAAACCTTTCTCTGCTTCTGCTCCTATTTTGGTCCAGAAGACGTACACCTTTCTCCTCTCTGTCCTTGTATCTGCAACCCAACAACTCGTGTAATTCTATGCAGCCTCCTTTTGAACCAATCTCCGCGCCTGTTTATAACTTCAAATGTTTCCGGCTTCGTCTGCTATTAATATTCTTATAACCTTTTGGTTTTTCTATCTCTCTGTACCCCGTTCCTCACACTCATCAGCTTTTACACCGCAAATAAACACACCCGGTAAATTACGTCTTCGGGACTTCAAACAAACACAAACCACAAAGCTCCTTCCTTCTTGGGCGACGAAAACTGACTAACTCCTTTCCTCTCTCCTATCTCATAGCTAAAACCAGTCCCTCCTTGCATTCAAAAATTGACCAATAAAAATCTTCTACCTCTGTGACGTATATCGTTAACAACCAACTCTCTCTATTAAAACGTCATTCGGGTAATTCCAGAAAACAACATTCTTTAATTATTCTAACTAAATCTATCTGCTTTACAAATATTTCTTACTAATAGCTACAAACGATACCTGTTTCTCAATTCAATGTCTTTTGTTAATAAACTTTTACCGATATAATCTTTCGGGGGGAAAAACCACCGCACATCCCGGTCTATTGTTTAAACACTTTCTATATACACTTTTATTACGGGTAAATCCATTTCACAATAACCGACTTATTTAAATTTCTTATCGATAATATTTGAAAGTCTTGTCTCTGAGGCCTAATGAACAATTCTTTGAACAACTTAAAATACATATTTTGTCTTATACAGGATGTTTGAAAATTTATATGCCCGTGTCATTATGAAATATCAATAATTTTAATTTTTATTTAAGTAATAAAATTTGTATATCGGTTTTTATTGCTAGTGGACATTCAAAAATACAACAATATATATATATATATATATATATATATATATATATATAAAAAATTAATTAAACCTTCTTGAATAAGGAAAAAATAAAAAGTTTGATACATCTACACAATTATTTTAATTAAAATTACAAACTTTTTCCCAATCGACTCGAGCCGCTCATCGGCACGTAAATATTTGCTAGAATAGTAAAGCCTAATTAGATTTTTTTCATTTATAACAGTTTGTAGTATATATACAGTGATGAGTGTCTTGCCACCCGGCTTTTTAACGTAAGAGATAGAAAACACATTTACCTTGTGAAATAAAAAGAGATGAAACTCGTAGAGGTGGAAAATAATTGATAGAAACCTATAATTTACATTACATTACATTACCACTCTCGATAGTCTCACACTTTTAGACGATATCTTCGAGCTAAATCACCTTGGTCATAATTATTATGTTTGACGTTTTAAATTATTAACCAAGAATAATTTCTACTATGATTTGAGGAGTTTCATACACCCTTGTGGTGATAATACACCTTAGTGGTAAGAATTCGACACTGCGATGCAGACGATTAGAGTTCAAAACCTACATGTGTTTTCTTTTTTTTAATAATTTGAAATTATGCAGAGATCGTTTTGCTTTTGAACATTTATGTCAGTCGTTACTAGTATTAGAAGTGTTTAAAGTTGAACATAAATATCTTATTGAAAAAAGTGTCGTCGTACTTTTGAAAATAAAGTAAAAATTCTTCAAAATTAAAAGAACGTTTAAGGAATGTTTAAATAAGTAAAAATTCTAAAAAAATAAAAAATATATTGTAAATAAACGTATTTACAATTGTCAATTGTTTTGAAAATCATTATCTGTACAGAGGAATTGATATCAACACTGAGAATTTAGTGATGGATTTGACATACACGGTCTTCACCGGATTATTTTGCATTCACTACTAAAGACAGTAAAACTGGAATTGAATTTGAATTATTTTGTATTTCCGTTTTATAACATTGGAATAAGAATAAAATGTAAACAATGAGTTTTTCGAAAACTTGTTACCTAATATGTATTATATTTTCTATTATTTGTTGATTAATAAAACAAAAATTTTATCATTGGTGTGAATTGAACGTCATTCTTCTTGTCACTAGACCACGTCTCTAGCTTTTACACCAATTCCAGATACATTAATTGTTTTCGGACAGAACATACCTACCTTTATTTTAGTCAAATATTTCAGTTGAGTTATTTTTATTATTAAATAAACTTAAGAATTTAAAATTTAAAATCGCTACTAATTAATGTTTTTTACTATAATATATCTTAATTTATTCAATTATTTATTCTAACATCAGAAATTATCAAATAAAATATTTTCGAGGTTATCTGTATAATTATGACTGAAGTCAAATAGCCACGTCTAACGTCTAAGGGTGTGAGACTATCGATAGTGGTAATGTAATGTAATGTAAATTATAGGTTTCTATCGATTATTTCTCATCTCTACGAGTTTCATCTCTTTTTATTTCACAAGGTAACTGTGTTTTCTATCTCTTACGTTAAAAAGCCGGGTGGTAAAGCACTCATCACTGTATATATATATATATATATATATATATATATATATATATATATATATATATATATATATATATATATATATATATATATCCCTTTGAACTGGTATACCGACAAAAGGACGCGGAAAAAAGGACGCATAAAAATGGACGCGGAAAAAAGGACGCGCGAAAAAAGGACGCGTGGAAAAAAGGACGCGTGGAAAAAAGGACGCATATTATTAATGAAATACTATAAATATTTTATTTTAATTGACAATAGCAATTACCCCCGTTTATCCCCTATATATAATTACAGAAAATGATTCTATCTAACCTAAAATCGGTTACGGTAAAAGTAAAAAGTGAAAAATATTTATATGAAAAAAACTTGCCTTGACACTTTATCCAGGCTTAGGACTGGCAGCAGAAGCTGGCGTGTTTACAAGTTTTTTTTTTATTTTTTTTTAATTTTTTGCTTTTTTTGGAATTTTTTTGTCATTTTATTTTTTTTTTTATTTTTGATATTAATTTTTTTTGTATTTTTTTTATGTTTGCAACTGAAACTTGTGAGCAATGCCTTTCAAATATTCTAAAGTTGGCCTGTCAGCATAATCGGCAACAATAGCCCTTATCCTGTTTGCTGTATCTTGATATTTTCTTTTGCGTGGAGGTACATTGCCCGAAATGTACTGCTCTATTTTCAAAACATTTAAATCATATTCTTTTGTTAGAGAATTAATAAATTTCCAAATATTCGGATGTGCACTATTCGATAAAATGTGAGAGCAAGTTTTTTTCATATAATTATTTTTCACTTTTTACTCTTACCGTAACCGATTTTAGGTTAGGTAGAATCATTTTCTGTAATAACATATGGTGATAAAAAGGGGGTAATGGCTAATGTCAATTAAAATAAACAATTTATAGTAATTCATTAATATTATGCGTCCATTTTTCCACGCGTCCTTTTTTCGCGCGTCTTTTTTTCGCGCGTCATTTTTTCCGCGTCCTTTGGTCACGCGTCCTGTTTTCCGCGTCCTTTTGTCGTAGATTCCTTTGAACTCCATGTAAAAAGTGATTGAAAAAACTATTTAAAATTACATAATTTTACTTACATTTAATACAGATATCTTGGGCAAATTTTGCAACATCTTCCATTCTCTCCTAATGTAGTCGACTGAACCTACTATCACAACATGTTTAAGCTCATGGTAATGGAAGTTGCTAGCTCTCAGTGGCATAACTAAGTTTCTAAGGCCTATTAGTGGAGAATCTGGATCGGCAAACAAACATACAACGACGTGTCCATTCAGTACAGTCATTGCCGCCTGATTTCGATCCTAAACAAAAAAAAATCGATCATATAAGATATACCACAATTAAAGTAATAAATTATTCAAAGTCTAAATTATGTAAAGTTAAAGATACAGTTGAGAAAAATTTAAATGTGATAGAAAACTAAGTAAAGGAAGGTGTAGATTTTAATTTTGTGAGTTCCACTTCCATCGATTCACGCTAGAGAAGATGGAAATCCAACAATAGTATATCCAGTAATCCAACAACAGCGTACGTCATACGAAAGAATCGAGTTCCGCCAGCGTGCTGATCTGGTAGGAACATTACCAGGCCTTAGAGTGTTGATCTAGTGGTATTTTCTGACCGGTCTTAGAGTGTCGATCTGAAACAGACCTGTTCCATGTCTAAGTGTTGATTAGTCACTTCCCACTCCTTGCCCCATCGAGTGTTGATCGATCTGTCCACCTCTAACCCAGATCATTTCTTCCTTTTAGCGGGTGAGTTTATTAACACATTGTATTTTTGTTTGGATTTTTATGATATTAATTATATCTTATTTTTCGCAGAGAATAAACAGTGGATCATCGAGTCGTTGATACAGTCATCGCTAGGATTACCGTTTATATATAATTCTGTATGTAATTTCTATGATATAATTTTATTTTGTTATTTATTTATCTTAAATATATTTTTATATAAATTCAATCTGAGTTTTACTAAATCTGCTGCTGCCTGTCACAATTTTAAACAGGTCATTTGGATGCTTTTGGACCTTTATCTATTGAGGTTTGAAAAATCTTTTGCCTATATCCATATTGAAGATTATTTGTTACCTGGTAGGTTCTCTTCTTTCTTCTTCTTCTTAGTTCAGGCGAGACTCATTAATCTCTCGGATTTGGTCGTAAGACCTTTGTCCAATTTTTTTTTCATTAAACTGTCTTCTCGCCTTAACAAAGGAAAATTTCGTTGATCGTTTATTTAGGTATATTAAATTGTCCCAGAGTTTGTTGTTAATATTCTTGATAATTTTCTTTGTTTGGATTTGCTATTTAGTGCTTCTCTATTTCTTTTGACGATTGTGGGCCTACACATGTTTTTTTAAGTCTTGTTCTACCAAAAATCTCTTGTTTATTCCAATCCACTTCCAATTTCGGGTTTGTAGCTGCCTGTGTTGTTAACTAGAGCTTCAAGATATATTAAAGAGAAGACTATTTTGGTTTGACTGTAGTTGACCATGAGTTCAAACTTAAAACTTTCTACCTAGAGTTTGTTATTTCTTCTGGAAAAGAGGCTACAAAAGTGTAGCGTCATATGCGAAATTCAACTTCGCCTAGATTTACTCCTTCCTCCCAAGCATTCAAAACCTTACGCATTATGAACTCTATGCAGATGTTAAATAATAAAGAAGATAAAATACATCCTTGGCTTATTCCTATCCCCAAAATGCATTTATCAGATAGGCATTCATCCATTATAATGTATTGGTGTTGACAACGGTGCAGGATGTAGAGAAGTAAGATATTAATTCCAATTAAGTCCAATTATTTGTTGGACCTTTTTATGTAGGGTATGATTATGATCTTTCTGCCATCCTTAGGCCAGGTGCTTGTGTACCTTATCTGATTGCACAATCGATCTAATATTATCATTTTGCATGCTGGAAGACGCTTTAACATATTAGCGGTAATGCAATCATAGCCTGCTGTCTTGTTTTGTGCCCGCAGGAATCTGATCTATATTGGCAAATACTTACAATACGACCTCTAAAGATCTATAAATTTGTCCAAATCTCTCTGTAGATTGCCTTCATGATCTTTGATATATGTACCAAGATTTCTGTTTAAGTTTACGTACGAGTACTCTTTGTCGAAGAGTTATATAGTGTTATTAATACCAGCATATTTTGGAATCTCACCTCAGATTTTCTCAATATGCAAGTTATTATCTTGCCTAAAAGCAGCTTGAATAGCTAAGCTATTGGTATTGGTAATGTATAAAAGGGGTATCGATTTCAGAAACTTTTCGGCGTTCATCGGAGGTCATTCACTTTAGATTCGTTTGATTTGGCGTTAGACTATGACTTGCAAAAATTCAAGATTTGCGTCAAAGTACTTTAAACGATAGCCAAATCTTCTCTAAGTCATGAGTGCCCAAGTTAAATAAAATATTTAAGAATCTGTCATTACATTGGCTTTAAAATGTTTTTTTATCTCTTATTAACAAATGAACAATACAGAGAGATCCATTCAATCGCAACGAAATAATACATCAATGACAGATAGAAAGCCCAGTAGGTACACAATGAAAAAAATATTTTGAAACCCAAAAACCGACACCATTAATACTTTGATTACTGTTAGATGAGAAACTTATGAAATGTCTCAAAGTAGTTGTACATATAATGGGCCTCCTTACGGTAGTGACGCTTAGAGAGACCGGCCACAGAAATATTAGTTTGCTATACTGTCTTCTTTGAAATGATTAAAGAACTGGACGTAGAAGCTGGAAAAATAGGCCTTAATATGAATTACAGCAAGACCAAAACTATAACAAATACAGATGAAGACATCACAATGAGAATCGGACAAGATGAAATAGAACAAGTAAGGATTATATATATCTTGGTCAAACTATAAAACTTAACAAAGAGAACCAAACAGCAGAGATCAAGAGACGAATTAGACTGGCATGGGCGGCATTTGGCAAACTAAGCTACATTCTTAAAAACAAAAGATATCCACAGCATCTTAAGACCAAAGTATATAATCAATGCGTAGTCCGTGTTTTTACTTATGGTTCCCAAACGTGGACATCTACAAAAGCAAACATGGACAAAATCATAAAAACCCAAAGAGCAATGGAAAAACAAATGTTGCACATAAGACTAATGGATAAGAAGAGAAACGAGTGGATAAGAGAGATAACAAAAGTGAGGGATGTTAGACAAGAAGTTGCAAAATTGAAATGGAGATTTGCCGGACACAATATAAGACAAAAAGAAGACCGATGGAACAAAATTCTTATAAGTTGGAGACCGTGGGAATATAAACGAAGCAGAGGAAGGCCCCAAATGAGATGGGCAGATGATATCAAGGAGCAAGTGGGCTTTAGATGGATGACTGTAGCGACAGACAGAGAAGAATGGAAAAGGATTGGGGAGGCTTATGTCCAAAGATGGACCGAAGAAGGCAAATTAGATAGATACTGTCTTCTTCAGAATAGTTCAGAATAGTTTGTTTGCTTAGTTGTAAAAGACCACAGATGTTCCATGTAGCTATTTTATGTGGTTTGAGGTTATTACGCTTCTGTTCTTCACCAATAGCACATTTTGTATGTAGAGCCTAATGAGTCACTTCTACATGCCCAGTAACTGAATTCACATATTCCTCCTCACACGAGAAAATGCGTCGGGTACCATTCGGATCACGAAGCTCGTCATCCGCCGCTATTGCTCATACTTTACGAACTCTCGTCGGAAAATGGGGTAATTTTCAGTTGCTTTTCCCATTGGTTGGGAATAACAGTAAGGAACAGAACAGGTGCTTGGACAGAAGTAGTAGAAAAGGACAATCGTTTCCCCTATTTGGACTTATAGGAGATAAACCAAAACTCGTTTGGGCACATCGCATCTTTGAAGTAGATCTATCATTAATTGGGTTTATAGATGAATATTTGTTCGCTATAAATCTCGGCGAATTTCAACGCCCAGGTTGGAAAAGGAAAAGTGGACGGATGTGTGGGGGAATTTGGCTTCTTTGGGAGAAAGGATATCCAGATTCGCCGTGGGGTCCGCCAAGGGTGTATTTTATCACCCTTGTTATTCAATTTATACAGTGAAGCCATCTCAGTATTAGCGCTTGCCGAGATCAGTGAGGGCCTTATAATAAACGGTGAGCCACTTAATAACATAAGATATGCTGACGACACCGTCCTTTTGGCAGGAACACTAGAAGAACTGCAACACCTTGCTGAACAACTAAATATATATTGCAACGATTATGGACTAAAAATCAATTTGAAGAAAACCAAGTTCATGGTATTTACAAAAGCACAAAACATCAAAGTTAAGCTAGTACTAGACAATACAGAAATTGAACAAATATCTTCGTACAAATACCTTGGAGCATGGATCACAGAAGATACTGATCAGACAAAAGAAATAAGATGCCGCATTGAAATTGCGCGGTCAACTTTTAATAGAATGAGAAAACTTTTTTGTAATCGCGATATCAATATATCGCTCCGGATAAGAATGCTTCGATGTTATATTTTCTCTACCCTTTTGTATGGAGTTGAAGCTTGGACACTTAAAAAATCCAACATTAAAAACCTAGAAGCATTCGAAATGTGGTGTTACCGACGCATTTTGAAAATATCATGGATGGATCGCAAAACAAACGAACAAGTTCTCGAACAACTAGGAAAACAATGCGAAGTTTTAAATTCCATAAAGATCAGGAAATTGGAATACTTGGGGCACATCATGAGAGGTGAAAAGTACGAACTACTAAGGAATATAATGCAGGGTAAAATCAAAGGTAGAAGAAGCGTAGGAAGACGTAAAATCTCGTGGCTACGCAATCTCCGTGAGTGGTTTGGATGCAGTTCAATTGAACTATTCAGGCGCGTAACCAATAAAATTATAATTGCCAGAATGATTTCCAATCTCCGATAGGAGTGGAACTTGAAGAAGAAGAAGGGAGAAAGAAATGAAAGAGGGGACAGACTTGTCAAATTCTGCCAAAGCGAGATGTTAATAATAAATACAAATTTTAAATTACCTAAAAGAAGACTTTATACTTGGAAATCACCTGCGGATTCAGAAGATAACATTTTACGAAACCAGATAGATTACATTTTAATAAAATCTAGATATAAAAACGCTATAAAGTCTCTGAGAACATACCCCGGAGCTGACATAAATTCAGACCATAATCCATTAGCAGGCGTAATGCAGATAAAATTGAAGAAGATAAATACACCATGGTTTGATGTCTCAAAGATAAAAGAAGAACCTATACGTCATAGCTTAAAACAAGAAAT